TCATTTTTGTGCGCGGAGGCAGACACCATCAGAAAGGTGGACGGGCACTACACGGCCCTAGGTTTGCTAGAGGGAGCTGTATTGCCTCAGTAACCTGGCTTCGCCATCAAAGGAGGAGGGAGCAGGTGGCGACGAGCTGAACTGGGCTGGTTGACCATTCGGCGCTAGAATTTTTATTTTTTTCAGACCAAGAACCTTGAGTGCAATGTGGGAGAAAGCGAGGAACCGACTGGGAAGGACAGCAACGAGAGCGTGTACGGACGGAGCAGGTCGAGTGGCGTTTTGCTCGGGCTGACTACAGCGGCGCCGGATGGAGCAGCGGCACCGGAGGATGCGGGCGACATCGACCCGTGGCGCACGGACAAACATTTCCATTTGTGTTGTCAATTTTTTTCGTTTTTTTCTTACTCTCCTTGTTGGTTTTGTGTGATGACGTCGTCACCGGTTTTGTAGAGAGACCCGTCAGAGATAGCGTGGCAAACCCGGGTGCCTTGGTTTTGTGCCTGATCGTGGAAGACCCCTTCAATGTGGAACGATTCTTAGCTAGTGTCGATATTTTTCACTGCAGTGCCTAACACAGACGATCGGGAGAGATTCGGGTGTCAATTGCTGCTATGATGTCTTTGGTTGGTTGTTCTTTTTCACTGTACGGCCGCAGACACATTCTGACAGCAACAGCAGCTTTGTGCCCCGCCAGCTGCTTGTTTCATGCCTACCATGGTGTTTTTGTACAGACAGCACTTCAGACAGCAGTATGCTGTAGTCGGCAATCTTCCGTTTTGGTATAGAGTGGGACAGGGAGGGGGTGATGCTACTGTAGTCGAACGGTGGGACGGACGTGCAGTTCAGTTTTTGGGCACGCATACGGTGCGCAGGGATTTTTAGGTGTACCTCTTCGGGCTCTTGGATACCTTTTTCTCGTTATATGTATGCGTGTTCTTTAGATCCTCAGATGGCTCTAGCACTTTCGTGACCACGGGCTGAGAGTCCTTGCTAGATTTTGGCATTTAGCAACTGACATACGGTTTAATGTAAAGACAACAACAACAACAGCAGCACTCTCAAAGTGGCAGTCATGGCCAAACTGGTCGTTGAGGCCATAAAAACGGCTAACAAGAACGGACCAGGTCAACGCTGTACCCCAGCTAGTGGCGGCGCCGACCACATGGCGAACGGCGAAGGTTGGCTAGTAAATCGAGAGTTTGCAGCGGGACGAGCCCTACACGCACGCCCCCACGACCGTGTTCTGAGACTGCTGTGACACACTGTGTACGTATCTAAATATCCGTCAATCCACTCGTTCGGTACCCCCCTTACAGTTTCATGTACGTTTGGGAGTTTCACACTCAAGCATCCTTGTCACACCTGACAAATGTCGTTTATCTGTCTATCTCTACACCATGCTCAAAGTTTCAACTTGTGGCCCATCCAAAAAGTGTGACGCGAATCCATTCCTCTGTTCGTGGAACGCTCCCAAAAGGGGCTGCAGGACAGCAGGGTACAAGTCCTTACGCGACCAACGACACGTTGATTGCAAAAACGTGTCAACCAACGTCTCTCTTTTATAGCAACCGGCCGGGCACGGCAGGTTTGCCCATGATCCGTGTCAAGCTGTGGGAGGCATCATGTCTCTCGGTCGCATCACCCTCGTGCTTACTGTTGTGTCCTTTAGCCACTTTGTGGGACAAGCAGCACGCCTGACACTGGACGCGTCATGGCAATGATAACGTTACGAAGGGTTGCGGTTAGGCTTTCTGAGAATTCTCAACCGGGTTGGAGAGTAAAAGCTTCAGCTAACACTGCGAAAATATATTGTAGATCAATCGACGTGAACAAATCACGAGTGTCGTAGATGGAAGACGTTTGGGGGACGAGTGAATTGATCAATTGCCGGGTTCGTCTCCAAGGGTTTTAGACCATTGCTTTTGACCCGCAATAGCTCAATTGTCGGATGAAGTCGGCACATCATCATCTACATTGTGAACGGTAACGTGTCCGGTTTTCGGCAGATCGAGATAGCAAATCCGGAGCAGTACGAACTGCGCACGATTTCCGACGTTGCCGCCGGCGCCGTTTGTAGCCTATCGGGGTGACAACCATTTTCGTTCTATGCAGTATCTCAGTTCCGTGAGAGTCGTAAACTACAGAACTTTTACCAGAATTGCTATGGAATATGTCAGAACTTGTTGTTCGGATCGCCATCGCCAGCCTTGGGTGGAGCGTGGCTCACCATACCCCCGGTTGGTCCTGCCCTTTTATTGTTGAGCTTCCACAACCTCCACCAGTATCATTAGTAATAGTTCAACATTTTTCGGTTGCATCTGTTGGCGAAAAGGACGATGTCCCAGCCATCCCTCCTAGCCCGCAATACCAGACACATCGACGGTTTTACGATACTTCTCACCAAGTCGTAGTCGCCACAGGTTTCGCAGTGGAAGCGGTCGGCCGTGTCCTCTATCACCCTGCCGCAGGAGTCGCACTCAAACTCGGGTTCCTCTTCGTCGCTATCCGTGACCCACTCGAATTCTCCCTCTTCGTCGTCGTCATCTTGGGCGTCGCCGAATTTCAACTGTGGAAGCGACGGGACACGCACCACCATGCTCTCCTGCACCTGTGTTCGGTCACACGTTTAGTTTTGGTGAAAATGCATCGATGTAAAAGGCCATCGTTCATTGAGCCCACGGCATGGAAATCAGCAGAAACTAGCGTTATTCGGCGCTTAAACAGGCCACACAATGAAGAAGAAAATGCAAAGAGGAACGTGACGGGAAATAGGTCTCTTTTGGCTCCCGTTCATCTGCGGCTCCAAACCCTATCACGCCCATACGCGAGTCTCTCTCTCTCTCTCTCTCTCTCTCTCTCTTGCTTTACCCCCTTGCAAAAACAGCCTCCAGCGTGATAGCACCAGCAACCTTCATGCCGATCGCACGCTTAAGGATAACCCTTCTCACCGGCTCCGTCGTCCGGCTCGGCGCTCGGATCCGCAGAACCCGTCTGACTTCCTCCACCCGACAGAACCCACACCGCCGGAACGTGTGCTCGCACTTCCTGCCGTGTCCCCTACCGCCCTCGCCACCGCAGCACACGCACAGGCGTATTGGTGGTACAACTCGCGTGAGGAACGTGGCGCTGCTGCTTTCACCATCGACCGAGGTGCCCGTGTCTGTTGTGGATGCCCCAACATCTTCGGCAGGTGTTGCTGGCCACCCAGCAGCGGGGTTCGAGCTGCTGGGGGTCGGGTTGGGCGGCGGCGGTGTTGAGGAGAGGATCGCAGGGAACGTAGTCCTGGTCTTGTCGTTGTTGTTGATGTTGTCGCCACCGCTGTTGTTACTGATGTTGGTGTCGTCGTCGTTGTTGCTGTTGCTCTGTATTGCCTTTCTTTGATGGGCGGTGGTGATGTGGTCATCGTTCTCTCCGTCCTGGCCTTCATCACTGGCGATATCGACCGGGCGTTCTCTTCCCCGTTCACCGTCCCCCCCGACCCCACTCTCGTCATCACACCCGGTCGCAACCGCCGTCGGTGGGTCCCGTGCGTCACCGGGTGCGGGGGTACCCGCCCCCCTCTTCTCGCGGCGCCTGCGGCCACCGCCGCCGCGGCGTCTGCTGCGGCCGTGCTTGGCGTGGAAGTCGTCCACCATTCTCGTGAGCATCTCGAGGCGCAGCGCCCTCTTCTGCTCCAGCGGCGTCGAGTGTCGCGGCGATAGCAGCAGGGGAAGCTTCCGAGGAGGCCTGTCTGGGTTTGCGTCGTTGTTTTCGCTCCCACTATCGTCCTCTTCGAGCTGCCCGCGAAAACGACCAAACATTTGGCGACGAAATCAATTCCAAGCTTAGGTCCGGCGAGATTCAGCTTCAAAACCTCCGAGCTTGGAACTCGCGGGAGAGGAATTCGGGGGCCGGGGGGGGGGGGGGTCCTTGTACGTCCCTACTGTAGTCAGACTGTTCAGATGCAGGTTGGCTCTTGGTTTCTGATATCCCCTTGCGCCGACTTTCCCTCATGTCCCCCTTTTCTCTAGTTCGGACAACGTAAATATCGCTCCCTGGTTGGGGCAAATCTGCAACCAGTGCTTCATTTCTTTCGGGGGCGCGGGGGGAAATGATACGCACAGTGTTCCATTCTTTTTACGTCGTGTGAATACCCCGATTCTCTGAGTCAAGGTTGATCTTTCGACGCATGGTATCTACCAGTTACCTGCCCGAGTCTTCCCTTTTCCATCTCGGACAACTCCAAAAACGTCCCCCGCCACCGCGCTCCCCCTCCCCGCTGTTGCGCCTCACGGGCCGCCCGTTTCCTCTCCAATCGGCTCGTGCGGCTGCGGAACCCCGCGCCCAGCAACGCCGCGAGCTGCTCCTCCAGAATTTTCTTGAAGGCGTGATTGTCCGTGGGGGGACTGAGGGTAGCTATCCCCGTGGTCGCTGGGTTTGGGAGCACCGGTTTTGAGAGCACGGTACGTTCCCAGGGTTAAGGGTGAAGCAATCACCCAGAGCCAAAGTGTTGCTTTGGTCGCTTCACGTATGCAGTCGATTAGTATTTTCGCGTACTTTCCACAAACGCACAGCCGACCAATAAAGCATTTATCGTTGCTGTTGCTGTCCTCGCAATGTATTACCCCGGCTCTTCTCATTACCATATTTCATCTGCAACGATCCAACTAACGCGGACGCCTTCCGTAGGCACAGGCCAACTACCCCTAAAAATAGACTTCCGTTTCTCAACCAACCAAGACCCTCGCTCCTGGCCACCGAAAACGACAGCACCCCCCTTTTCATCTGATTGGCCAAGACATCACGGCTCTGTGCCGCGAAGCTTCCATCGTTTTCGGATTATCTTCTTAGCCTTCTTTCATTCACCTGTCCAGTCCTCCAACGAAACCGTCGATTTGGCGAGCAAAGGGCCGCCCTCGAAGTCCCTGGCCTCGATCAACAGCCTGCGGCCAGCATCCGTTATCATTACGAACACCCCCTCGGCGTGGCTCCCCAGCCGGGCTATCGGTACCGTGCCCATCCAGTACGGCAACGGCAGGTCCGAGATGATGACGAGCCTAGGTTTGATTTTGAGGACGTTGTCTTGGTCGTGTTGCCCCCCTCTCCCGTCTCTGTCGTCGTCCACAACGATGGCCACCTGAGGTGGGGGGGGGGGGGGACCAAATGTAGGCACTTGCGGCATGATCCCGGTACACTCGACGAATGAAATGTTTCTGCATTTCCAAGAAGATCAGCACCGAGGACGGGAACACGCCGCAAATAACGGGGCAATGTTTCGGGTACAACGATCGGTATGCCAATGCAATTTATGATCGCCAGAATGTGGAGAAGAGGATGAAACAAATCTCCTATCGTACCTGCTGAGCAAGCCGAAGAGCCAGGTACTGCCGGCAAGAGCAGTCCAGCCACAACAGCTCCCCCAAGCCCGTTTCTCGCCAAGATTCTTTCCCGAACGCCTGGTCCAGCATCGAAACCCCGCTCTTCGATCGGCCTACGTTCTTTCGTTCGGCCTCTACAACCTCGACCCTAAGCACGCCTCCCTCATCTCGAACCAAAACTCGGCTCGTTCTCGATGTTTCCTCCCCGCCGAAAATTTCGCTCCCCCCTCTGGGTGCTGTCCTACTGCTGGTACCGCCAACGACGACCAAGCCACTACCGCCGCCGCCGTCGGCACCACCGCCGCCCGTTCCACGCACCGACGAACCAGGGGCCCCGCTTGATTTTCCCACATCTCGAGTCACGCTTGAGAGGATGGGGTGGAAATGCAGAAACGCCTCCTTGGTTGTACGGCGACGGCGGTGCCGCACGGGGGTTTCGTTGGCATTGGGGGCGTTTTTCTCCTCGAAACCACGCGCCGGTGTCCTGAACGACACCCAGTAGAGGGAGAGCCGGGCGATGAACACCTTCTGTTCGTGAGACATCCACTGCAACGGACCGTACCCGGCTTCCGCCCAGTCTGCCCAGGCCGCCACTAGCGTTAGAGACCGCCTCATCGCGGCTCTCCCGGGGTCTCCGGCTGTGCTGTGCACGCCGCTCCCGTTGGCTGCGGCGGCGCCCCTCCCTCTGACGCCGGCTGGCCGTGTTGTCCCGCCGGTCGACGGCGCCGCTCTCGATGGTTGGAAGAGGGACAGCGTCAGCTCGCCCCCCGTCGCCTTCACCATCACAAGCCACCGGCTCTTGCTGCTGCTGCTGCTGCTGCTGCTGCTACCTCCAGCAGCTCGAGTCTCGCTGGGGATGGTGTTTCTGCCACTTTTATCATAGTCGTCCGCGTCGGCGTCGTTGTTGTTGATGTCGGCGGCGTTGTCGGCAACACTCTCGGCGGGCTCGGGTATCGATAGTGGCAGCGACACCCCGGACCTGAGCACGACTCGGCAATAGCAAAGCCCCGGTGGGGCCCCGGACTTGCACGGCGATGGCACCCTGCTGCCGTCGCCGTTGTGTTCGAATCGGTCGTTCGATTGTCGCTCGGCTACGGCTGCGTCGGGTGCCGCCGCAGGTCCCGATGACGCCCGGCTGGAATGGGTGTTGTCCCGTAGCGAAGATGGCATCTGGCGTAACAATCCGGCAAGTTACCAACACGACACATGAAAAATCTATTCTGACTTACGGGACGGCTATGAAAGACACAGGAGGAGGCTTCGGGTGACAACCGTGAAGAAGTAGTTGAAAATAGAAATAACATGATGATGGGTTTTGTTTGGTTTTCAACGGAGTTGTCTTTGGGTTTTTGGGAAGACAGGTGAACGCAACAGGCCGAGGGGACAGGAGACGGGCGGGAGGACGCCTAGTCTGGCAGGATGTAGTGATACACCGCCGTATGTGGCCACCACCTGAGAACCTGAGAGGCCCCTGGGAGAACTCAGCTCAAACAGTGATAAATCAAGTCGTGGCCATACGGGCAAGTGCCCAGTTAAGAACGGTGCACTAACAAGCAGCGAAGGCGCCGACGATTCCGGTAAAACAAGAAACCGACCAGAAATCATGTTGCATTCTCTACCGGGGAAAATCGTTCGGATCTCAGCCCGCGACAGTTTCAAACACAATAGTAGCCGACAGATGCGTCGAAAATGGGGCAACACCAATAATCGAACAAGTCGCATTTCGTACTGGGAAAAAGCCTTCGGGTCTCAGCCCTCGATCGCCGATCCGTAGCACAAGGCTGCCGCCCCTCGCTCTCACGCAGCGAGTCAGCTCCTGAGCTAGGGAAGACGTCCTTTTGTCGTCCAACCATGGAAGGGACGGGTGTCCTAGGTTAACCCAGTCCTGACAGCAACAGCAGACAGAGCGGCTTGAGAGGAGGAAGAAGTGAATACCTTCGGTCCTTGCTCGAAATGTTTCCTGCGGAACTCATACGAGGTGGCCAAAGAGAGGTTCAGAGAGCATACACCACAACAAATAGGTTTTCTGACATTGGTTTACGAGGAACAAAAATTAACGAAGTGTTAGATACCAACATCGCTTTACCTGACCTCGGTCTTACCTCAGGCTGTACAACGATATTGTACACACGCTCAGGTC